ATTCTGTCCTGTGCATTACTGCCTGTGCCTGCCCCCTGCCAACACTCCACTGTCTTAACTACTCTAGCTATAGAGTCAGTCTTGAAATCAGGTAGACTGACTCCTTCCACTTTATTACTCTTTTTCAGAATTGTTTTAGCTTCTCTGCCCCTTTTTTTTTTTTGAAGATGGAGTCTCGCTCTGTTGCTCAGGCTTTAGTGCAGTGGCGTGATCACGGCTCACTGCAGCCTCCGCCTCCCAGGTTCAAGTGATTCTCCTGCCTCAGCTTCCTGAGTAGCTGGGATTACAGGCATCTGCTGCCATGCCTGGCTAATTTTTGTATTTTTAGTAGAAACAGGGTTTCATCATGTTGGCCAGGCTGGTCTTGAACTCCTGACCTCAGGTGATCCATCCGTCTCGGCCTCCCTAAGTGCTGGGATTATAGGTGTGAGCCACCGTGCCTGGCCCTGTAATACTTAAATTACTAGCGAGATGGCACATTTTCTTTCTAACTTTGCTGCATCTCTTTCTGAATTGCCTTTCTCTTCTCTTTGCTCATTTTTAATTGAGATGTCTTTTCCTTGTGATTTGGAAAAGCTCTCTTTTCACTTGCCAAGTCTTCTCCTTCTCTTGGTAACATTTACCTTAGCTCTGGTGTAGAAACCTCCGATGGAGCAGTTGGAGAGAGCTGTCCGTCCAGTCCAGGAAGATTAGACATGCCCCAGCGTTTCCCTGATGCCTTTTGAATGCTTTGAGTCAAGTCCCAGTTCTGCCACGTGCTTGCCACATGACTGAGCCAGGTTACCTCACCCACAGAATGTGGGCTGGCCTGCCGGGAGGGCTGGGCTCACGTGGGGTGATGGTTGTGCAAGGCCTGTAGGGGCCTCTAAGGGGAAGGCAGAAGTGGAAGGATTATCAAGCAAGCTCTACTCTGGGCTATGTTTTTGCATCCGTGGGTTCTTCTAAGTAGGAACTCGCACTGAGATGTGTTTCGGTGTTATGTGCCTAACTTCCTGCAAAACTTGGCAGTGGCATTGAACAACACAACCATTATGGGGTCTCAGCTTTCCTGGGGAAATGACAGGTCATTGAAAACACTGGCTTTCAAGTCCATTTATATGCTCAAATCGAGTGTTGGCTTTTGACCTTTTCTGTTTAATAAAATGCTCCAGCATGTCATCATGGACATGCATTTTCCCAGGCCAGCATATGCATGAGGCTGTCCTGTGGCCCGGTGCCCAGCCCTGTGACACCTGGGCTGTCATTACAGGGTGCACAGTAGGTGGGGGTCAGACTCCAGGACCACCCATCCTGGGTGCTTCGCTGACTATTGCTCATTGGCTGTTGTGGTCCTGAGCAGGGCAAACTTAGTTTCCCCACCTGTCAACTGGGACTAGTAATATTACCTGCCCTTTAGCGTTGTTGGGAGGATGAGAGGTACTGGATATGAAACAAAGGATTATAGGTACTTCTCTGAACATTTTACAGTGAAAATGGATTGCTTTCCAAAAGCCATTTTGAACCAAGGCTGACGATCATTGGTTTGTTTTGCACGAGAGCGTGTACTTTGCTAGCAGAGTGAGAGTGACAGTTCCAGCAGGAGGCAACCAGGCATGACGATGTAGGAGGCGTCCTGCCCTTGGCCACGTGCAGGGATCAGAGTTGGGTGAACTCTGCTAAGGAGTCATTAGAACACAATCCTGAGACAGTTTCTCCTCCAAGGTGGTTCTGCTGGGTTTCTCCATCTCAGCTGCTGTCCTGGGTTACAGGTACAGGCGCTTGTGTAAATTGTGGTGTTTTAAAGCCTTCAGAGCAGAAGGATGTGAACTTGTCCTTCTCCATGTGCCCCTCTCCCTGTCATCCCACTTGTAAATTGTTTCTGGGCTGGAGAATAAGTGAGGAGGTCACAGGAACTTTGCATGTTGTCTCAGCATTTTAAGACAGGAAGAGCAACTGGAAGATCGAGCTGAAAGCTACATTGAACCTCATCAATAATTCACACACTGCAGAGGCGAAGATGGCGTCTTCTCCGCACAGTGGGCTGGAGCAGGAGAACACCATCGGGTCAGCTCTGCTGCACTTCCTTCCATTCCTGCAGCCACCCTGGTACCACCTGCGGCCTCTTACGCTGCAGGCCTCGTCCCCTGGCGCGCCCCCTCTCTGCCTTTGCCTCGGGCTTGGCCCCAGGCTCACTTTGGGGTCAGACATGGGTGGGCAGCTCCAGAGGCTGCTCTCAGCACGCAGAGGGCTCTTTCCCAGTAGCTGTGGGTCTTCCTTTTGGGGGCCAAGAGGTCTCTGCACAAGGGACCAGGGACAGACTCCCTGGGGCTGGGGATTCGTGTCATTAGCAACGTGTCTTTGGTTCTGCCGCAATGACATATCAGGGCAGTGTGCAGGTGTGACTCTATCGTTCCCGGGAAGAAGCCTGGCATAAGAGGAAGTGGCAGTTGAGGCCTGGTGCTTTCCCTTCTTTCTTCCCCCTTCTGCTTTTGCAGTACCTGACGTATGTGTAATTAGATCAAAACCTCTGACCGCTGTCATTGTTCCAGGTTACCCAGATGGACTCGCGTAGTGATGAGCAGTGGTTGAGCCATACTCCCTGGGCTTTCCCTCAGCTGTAGGTCTTTTGAGAGTGACACCCAGTGGTCATCAAGTATTCGAGCCAGATGGGCCCTTAGCATGGATGGGCAGAGGCTGGAGCTCTGGGCTGTATCCTTCAGCAGCTCTTCTGGATTAGTCTGGGCCTTGTTTCTCGTGGTTGCAGATCTTGTTGCTCATTAGCACCTGGGAAGTGGAGCAGATATTTAATAACCCTGCGTGCCTCAAAGACTGAAACTCTTTTTTTTCCCACTGGAATCACAGTAGCTTGGAAACCTCTTTCCCTTGCTTCCCATGAGATTGTTAAAAAACTCGCCTGGGGCCGGGCGCGGTGGCTCACGCCCGTAATCCCAGCACTTTGGTAGGCCAAAGCAGGCGGATCACCTGAAGTCAGGAGTTTGAGACCAGCCTGGCCAACATGGTGAAACCTCGCCTCTACTAAAAATACAAAAATTAACTGGGCATGGTGGCGCATGCCTGTTGTCCCAGCTACCCAGGAGGCTGAGGCAGGAGAATGGCTTGAATCCAGGAGACAGAGATTGTAATGAGCTGAGATTGCACCACTGCTCTCTAGCTTGGGTGACAGAGCAAGACCCTGTCTCCAAAAAAAAAAAAAACTCGACTGAAAATGTGCTTCAGATCCGGACCTCTCTGATCGTTGGCAGGAAGGGCACCTTTGTCATCTAAAGTGAGGGCCTCTGGAGTCTGTGAACCCATGGCAGGCGATGTGCTGTTTGCTGCCTAGACCTGACCACTGTCACCTTTACTGACAGGTGACAAACAGCCTGCCTGCCTTGGCCTCCTTTCTGTGGGTCTTCTTCCTCTGGGGAGACATATTTTGGAAATAAGCTGGGGTTTGAACCCAGGAGGTGACACAGGTGTGATGGTTGGACACTGTCATCTAATGAGGTTGTAAGATATTAAGGGTGACGGCCACTCCAAGTCTTTCCCGTACCACTCCACCGGGGATGGTGTCACTGCCTCCAAGTGTGAGGCAGGCAGCCATCCGGGGGCTGCTGTTGCTATACGCTTACCTCCTAAGTCTTTTCCATGATGTCTTTGGTCTTTGTTTTAAAAATGATGGCTCCTAAATCTCTGGCTTTTCTTGCTTTTTCATTTTATTCTAGTTTTTTCTGCCTTTTCAGTGTTTCCCCCTTTCTTTTCCTCTTTTTCTTTTTGTTTTGACTTTTTCCTCTCCCCTTTCAGATCTTTATGCTATTTTCCTTCTATTTTCATTTTGTCGTAGTAGTTTTCTCTGTACTTTCACTTCTTCTTTTTTTTTTTTTTTGAGACAGAGTCTCGCACTGTCCGCCCAGGCTGGAGTGCAGTGGTGCAATCTTGGCTCACTGCAATCTTCTGCCTCCGTATTAATGCGATTCGCCTGTCTCAGCCTCCTGAGTAGCTGGGATTTACAGATCACACCACACACCTGGCTAATTTTTTGTATTTTAGTAGAGATGGGGTTTCACTATGTTGGCCAGACCTGGTCCTTGAACTCCTGACCTCGTGATCTGGCCTGCCTTGGCCTCCCAATGTGCTGTTTTGGGATTACCAACTTTTACTTCTGTAATACAATTCACAGGTGTTGGCGTCCCCCAGAGAAGGCTGACCATAATCTGGGCTTATTATTATTATTATTATTATTTTTGAGACAGAGTTTCCCTCCTTGTCCACCAGGCTGGAGTGCAGTGGTAAAGATTTTGGCTCACTGCAACCTCAGCCTTCTGGGTTCAAGTGATTCTCCCTGCCTCAGCCTCCCAAGTAGCTGGACTTACAGGCACATGCCACCACGCCTGGCTTAATTTTGTATTTGTTGTAGAGATGGGTCTCACTCTGTCATGTTGGGCCAGGTCTCAAACTCCTGACCTCAGGTGATCTGCCTGCCTCGGCCTCCCAAAGTGCTGCGATTACAGTGTGAGCACTGCGCCCGGCCCGGGCATTATTTTTAGCTTGAAGTGACCTTTTGTAGCACAACAATATGCAAGTGGTGGGTGCATATTGGTTCAAATCCAATGACCATAACTGGAAGGGAGCCTAACGTCCCCCTGGTTTTATCATCGTGAGAAATCGTACAACAGCCAGGTCTGAGAATTTGTTGGATAATAACGCTAGTAATCCTGGCCCCCGAGAAAGTCCTCTTTTCCCGCCCAGTTCTATTTCTTTTTTTTTTTTTTTTGAGACGGAGTCTCGCTCTGTCCGCCAGGCTGAATGCAGTGTCGGTATCTCAGCTCACTGAAAGCTCCGCCTCCCGGGTTTCACGCCATTTCTCCTGCCTCAGCCGGTCCCGAGTAGCTGGGACTACAGGCGCCCACCACCACGCCCGGCTAGTTTTTTTGTATTTTTTAGTAGAGACGGGGTTTCACCGTGTTAGCCAGGATGGTCTCGATCTCCTGACCTCGTGATCCACCATCTTGGCCTCCAAAGTGCTGGGAATACCAGGCTTGAGCCACCGCGCCCGGCTATTCTCTTTAGCTGTTTACACACCCATTCTGTATAATTAGACGTCATTGTGCATTCTTCACTTTTATCGCTTATTACGTCAGCGGCAGGTTTGTAATACCAACACACGTAAACTTTTACAGCCAGCATTTCAGGGGCTGCATAATTCCCCACCAGGTTGGCACACTCCCCTGGGTGTCCCTTCTCTCCCCTGGGAGACCTCTGGCAGAGGTCAGGATACGGTGGGAAGTGTCTGGACTTGGCCGCCAGCCAGGCTGGATCCAGGTGTGGCCTCTGGTGGCCCCGATTAGCTCCATGACCCTAGATCTGAACAGCAATGTCTTGTGGCTCTGAGGTGTTGGGAAGTGGAATATCTTCAGTGCCAAGCTGAGGACACCGCACTTCCTTCCTGCCGTGGTGGGAACAGTCACTGGCCAGCACTCTCCGGGCGCGGGCTGGTCAGTGCGCATCTTTTAGCATTCAGGTAGCTGGAGGAGGATGGATGGGATGGGTCAGAGAACCAGACCCAGGCTAGGGAAACCGGTCGAAAGCTTGCGGGCCCGGTGATTCATGATGACATGTGGAAACTTCTTTTCTGATTCCGGAGCCAAAGAACAATCTCAGAGGATAGAGTGTCTTTTCCCTCTGAGCTCTCCAGGAGCTGAAATCCCTTTGCTCAGGAATGGAAATTGACACTGGGCTGCTGCTGCTGTTTCCTGAGTGACTGGATTGTTTGCCCTAGAATTAGGATTTATTCAAGAACATTAAGCTTACTTTTTCTAAATCGGGTAAGCATAATAATATCTGTGTCTGAAGATAAACTGAATTCTGTGTTCAAAGGATGTATATAGTGCATACATTTTGACTCTTAACTATCATCATCTGTTTTCGTCATGACAAAATTGAGGGGTCAACCCTTTTTTTCCCCAAGGGGATGCGTTCACTTTTGACCAATATCTGTGGTTTCATTTACAGATTCCCACTGGAAATTCGTTGTATGAATCTTATTACAAGCAGGTGAGTTTAGCTGATGTCTTTTCAGATGGAACTAGAGCATGCCTGAGCTGAAAGCACAGTACGGAATAGAAGCCCGGCTGAGCAGCTTTTTGTCCTTTTCTGTTCGCTGTCAGCGGATAGTCAGCGTGGCGGGTGCTGTTTCACCTGCTGCTGCATTTACTGAAAAGTTATTTTGCCTCTTGCTCTCCCATCTCAGGTCGATCCAGCATACACAGGGAGGGTGGGGGCGAGTGAAGCAGCGCTTTTTCTAAAGAAGTCTGGCCTCTCGGACATTATCCTTGGGAAGGTATGTGAAGATGAATAGTGATTTCTTTTCTGTGGCTGCCCTCACAGCTCCTCCCACAGGTCAGGGCCAGCCTGTGCAGGCCTCCTTGCATGGGGCTGGGCCTCCTGGGGAGTGGCCTGGTCACTGCAGACCTCTCAGACTGCAGCTGGTGGATCCAAACGCCCAGGTGGCAGCCCCCACAACTACTTTGCTAGCAGACAAGAAACCCGAGTACTTTTGGGGTCTTGATAGCTTGTGGACTTTTTTTTTTTTTTTTGAGACAGAGTTTCGCTCTTGTTGCCCAGGCTGGAGTGCAGTGGTGCGATCTTGGCTCACTGCAACCTCCTCCTCCTGGGTTCAAGTGATTCTCCTGCCTCAGCCTCTCGAGTAGCTGGGATTACAGGTGCACACCACCACACCCAGCTAATTTTTTGTATTTTTCGTAGAGATGGAGTTTCACTATGTTGACCAGGCTGGTCTCAAACTCCTGACCTCAGGTGATGTGCCCACCTCAGCCTCCCAAAGTACTGGGATTACAGGTGTGAGCCACCGTGCTTGGCCACTTGTGGACTTTTGTTGGGGGAAGAAGGGTGTCATAAACACCATTGGCTTGGGAGCTGAGTGCATCTGGATGTCCTCTGGGCCCTGCCGCTGACTGGCTGTGTGCCCCTGGGCGGATCATTCAGCTGATCTGAATTGGCCTCTTCATCTGCAGAACAACCTGGGGACAGTCACTCCTGCCCCGCAAGGCCGGTGGTGGGGTGTTGGCAGCTCTGGTTTTTGTTAACACATGGACAGTGATCAGCAGTCATGCTTATGAGCATTTTTGTGTTTCCACAGATATGGGACTTGGCTGACCCAGAAGGTAAAGGGTTCTTGGACAAACAGGTATATACACATGTACACAGAGCAAGTGGAGGGGCTGGGCAGAGCCCCCAGGCTGGGTGACCTCCACGGCTCCTTCCACATTCCTCCACTGTCAAGTATTACTAGGCATGAACACAGCTGTCAAACTTAACACCGGAAGCTTTCATTTGAAACAGAGGTCTTTTAAACACTCGGAGCCATCTTTCATGGCTAGTGTATCTTTTATTTTTATTTATTTATTTATTTTTCTTTTAATGTTTTGTAACCTTACATGTGATTAAAGTGTTGTCCAGACTTTTTATTTTGGACCAGTCTCTCGTGGAAGTTACACAAATAGCTTGGAGGGTTACTGTGTATCTTTTGCCAGCTCTCCCTAGTGATGGCCTCTTACATAATCACAGCACAGTGATCAGAGCCAGAAAGTAACATTGGTGTTATTTTTTATTTTTTATTTTTTTGACATGGAGTCTCACTCTGTCGCCCAGGCTGGAGTGCAGTAGTGCGATCTCGGCTCACTGCAACCTCCACCTCCCAGGATCAAGCGATTTCCCAGCCTCAGACTCTGGAGTAGCTGGGATTACAGGTGAGCACCATCATGCCTGGCTAATTTTTGTATTTTTGGTAGAGGTGGGGTTTCACCATGTTGGCCAGGCTGGTCTTAAACTCCTGACCTCAGGTGATCCGCCCACCTCGGCCTCCCAAAGGACTGGGATTATGGGCATGAGCCACCACTCCCAGCCACATTGGTGTTATTAATGTAACAAAGTGTAACTTTGCCTAAAGGCCTTAATCAGAGTTTTTTTTTTTTTTGAGACAGAGTCTCACTCTTGCCCAGGCTGGAATGTAGTGACATGATCTTGGCTCACTGCGGCCTCTGCCCCCTGGATTCACAAGATTCTCGTGCCTCAGTCTCCAGAGCGAAAACTCCATCTGAGGGAAAAAAAAAAAAAAATCTGAAATCTGAAACTCTCCTGATCCCAATATTTGGGATGAGGAATACTTAGCCTGTGATTTTAAGTGGTCATAGATGGCCGTTTTGTTGGAAGGGACCTTGTTTGTGCTGTGCCATGACTTGTGAGCTAGTCTGTCAGGAAGCCCCTTCACTTGTACCTCCCTTCTTAGGTTCATGGTGCACATCTGCATGTGTTTTTTTATTTTTTTAATGTATTTTTATTTTTTATTTTTTGAGCCTCACTCTGTTGCCCAGGCTGGAGTGCAGTGGTGCGATCATGGCTTACTGCAGCCTCAACCTTCTGGGTTCAAGTGATCCTCTGCCTCAGTCTCCCATGTACCTGAGGCCACAGGCACGCACTGCCACACCTGGCTAATTTTTATTATTTTTTGTAGAGATAAGGTCTCGCTATTTTGCCCAGGTTGGTCTCGAACTCCTGTGCCCAAGCAATCCTCCCATCTTGGCCTCCCTAAGTGCTGGGATTACAGGCGTGAGCCGCTGTGCCCAGCCTCATGTCTGCATGTTAAAGTTTCTGAGAATTCCTGTAGAAAAGAAATTTGACTTGACTTAATGCAGTTCCCCTAAACTTACTTTTTTTTTTTTTTTGAGATGGATTCTCACTCTGTCGCCCAGGCTGGAGTACTGGCCTCCACCAAAGTGAACACACAGACAACACACAAGCACCCGCTATTCTCACTGTTTTACACACCCATTCTGTTATTAGACGTCATTGTGCATTCTATCACGTTTATCGCTATTAACGTCAGGCAGGCAGGACAACACAAAACTTTTACAGCCAGGCGAAGCACTATTCACCGCGGGCGCTATCAATTCCCCCACCAGGTTGGCAACTCCTGGGTGACCCTATCTCATCATCCACTTCGGGAGACCTGGCAGAGGTCAGGATACAACACCGCTGAAACACACACCAACCCAGGACTATAGGAACCAGCCCACAGGGCTGATCCAGGTTGTGGCCTCTGTGGCCCGATTTGCTCCATGACCCATATCTGAACAGCAATGTTTGTAGCTCTGAGCGTGTCTGGGGAGTGAATATCTCAGTGCCAAGTGAGGACAAACCAGCACTTCTTCCCTGCCGTGGTGGGCAACAGTCACTGGCCAGCCTCTCCGGGGCGGGCTTGGTCAGTGCCGCATCCTTTGAGCATATCACGTAGCTGGAGGAGATAGAATGGGCGATGGGTCGAGTAGAACCAGACTCCCCAGGCTAGGGAAACCGGTCGAAAAGTCTTTGCCGCGGCGCCCCGGTGGATCATTGATGACATAGTGAAACTTCTTTTTCTGATTCCGGAGCCAAAGAGACAATCTCGAGAGGATATGAAGTGTCTTTTCCCTCTGAGCTGCTCCGGGACTCAGCTGGAGACATTGGAGTAGGCACTCCACTAGCCTTCATGCACAACACCAGCTGTCTCGGCTGTGTTCTCTTTCTTCGTTTTTAATTAGACTGGGCCTAAGACATGGAGTACTATTTAAAAGCTACAAATATTGTTAACAGTTTTAAAAAGTGTCTCCCAAGAGATAAGTGCTAAGGATCGGCCTTTCTAGCCTGCTGTCCCTCCAGAAGCTCTTGTAGATCGCGTGTGTAGGATCATAGAGGGTATCTAGAAAAAGGGACCCTTTCATTTCCTCAAGGTCCTGATAAAAGAGAAAAATATAATCAATAATAAATAGCAAACAAAAAGGGGATTAAGCAAGTTTAGGGGAGCTGGGCCACAGTGCCTCAACGCCTGTAATCCCAGCACTTTGGGAGGCCGAGGTGGGTGGATCACGAGGTCAGGAGATCGAGACCATCCTGGCTAACACGGTGAAACCCCGTCTCTACTAAAAAATACCAAAAAAAAAAAAAATTAGCTGGGATAGGGCCAGACGCCTGTAGTCCCAGCTATTCCGGAGGCTGAGGCAGGAGAAATGGGCATTGAACCCAGGAGGGCAAGCTTGCAGTGAGCTGAGATTGGGCCACG